CGCCTCGATTGCGCAGTCAAGAATTTGGTTCCGTGCGTGCGGACGTATTTTGCCAATCGTCCGTAGCGTCGCGTTTTGTACGTCTTGTTTACTCTTATTAGATTAACTTAAAAGTAATTAAGTGTGTGATGGACCTTTAAGTAACTACGGTGTTAAGTTAATCGCGCTTGTTAAGTTAATACAAATAAAATTCTGATTTCTGCTAGGCGAAGAGCGTCGCGGATGCGATCGAGAAGTGCGTTCGCCCTGTGTTCGGCTGTGCAGTTGGACTCCGTTTCGAAGATGTCTACGTTGAGTGTACGTGCCCCCGGCATCCAGGCCACCAGCATGCTGGACACGAGGTCCCTGAGAGTGCGCGGCGTCACTAACATTGACACCGTGCGGAGAAACTTATTCGGATGCACCGATAGAGAAGAGAATAGAAGATTTGTTGAACGTGAGTTGGCACGGCAGCTGGAATTAGACAGTCAAAGATGGGGCTTCGATTTCGCAAATGAGAAACCTTTACCGGGGCCGCAAAGATTCGCATGGCAACTGGTCCCTATATCGAGTATACCAGTGGCACTTAGAAGAGCACCGATCACGGTCGTCGCTCCCAAGCCAAGTACACCCTCACAGGAGACTCAAGTGGCGAGCCCAGAGAACACGAAAACACAAAAAAGGATAACAGGTCAGTGGTCAACATTAAAATTCATACATGTTTTTATTCACTTCATAGCTATAACATAACAACACAAGCGTAATTACAAAAATAAACATTCCGTGAAACGTCACGTTATTTCTATCTCGCTCTGAGGTTGACTAATTGACATTTTTGATTTATCCTTTTATGCCAAAGGAAACAATACTAGTCTTTATGCTCTCGGTTCGAAGCAAGAGAATTGCTTGCGAAATTATTAGAGTTAGTGCAATAGCACGTGGTAACAGAATGGAACAAACTCAAGGTCATTTCGCGTTGCGTTCGACGCCACTTTTATCGGACAATGCAATTGTTTTGTTGATTCTACTAATGCAAACAGACTTGTAATTTATATTTTTACATATTGAACAACCAACTGTACCGAAAAATAAATCAAGATGGCGTGGCGGCATAATTTAAAATTATTTAATAAAAATTATTGAATACATATTTCACTTTGATTAAAGTAGAAAGTTTTAATTTATTACATTAGATTGGTAGAAAACTAGCTCGTTACTTATCCATTTATTTTGCATTATATCTGCTATACCGCTAATGACTAGCAAACTAATATTGTTTTTTTTTGTTAATTACTATACAAAATCAAATCAATTTGTAGGGATATTTTTGTTTTATAATCTTTTGTGTAACAACCCTTTTAAAACGTAATGCTGTCAAATTACGCGGCCGGCCTGCGAAATTTTTTGTCCATTTTGGGTGTTAATTCATAAAGGATCGAAGTAGGAAGTCCTTATTACAACATTATAATTAAAAATTAAATCTTAATCCTTTCTTAGTTGGTTTTTAATTTGACATCCGGTAATGGCTTGTTTTACTTATAAAAAAAAGTTGTACTACTCATTAAGTTATTTAGCGAATTTGATCAGTAAAGGGTTAAGATGCTGGGTGTCGGATTTTAACGGTATTGGATTTTGTTCCCGTTTTTTTTTTAAGTTGAAGTGTGTTCACCATTAAGTTATTATTAGCAATTTATTATAGTGTTTACTATGTCCTCGTTAGTTTGATTCGCGTGGTCCCACACATGTGCGGACTAAAATAGGCCAAGTGTGGGAGCGAAGTAATGTTATAAACAAACGGATATGTAGGTCACAGTATCACTTGTACATACAAAATACTGGCATAACAAATATTTTGATGAATTCAAATCTTGCTAATATTATAAATGCGAAAGTAGATGGATGTTTGTTAGAGTGTGTAGCCTAAACGGCTGAACGGATCTCTATCAAATTTTGTATATAGGTGTAAAGTATAGTCTGGAAGAACACAAACCCTACTTACGTTTGTTTTTTTTTATTCCGCGCTAACGAAGTCGCGGGCAAAAGCTAGTAGTCTTAGCTAGCTAGTCTTTCTATACCTAAACAAATTTTAATAATTATAGACCCTTCTGACGCAGAAAATTGTACTTTATAGTTATTTACTTAGGGACTACATAATACATTTTTTTTGCCTTAAAAACTAGACAAATATCTAAATTGTTAATTTTATTCAAGTATAGAAGAATATAGTTTTATATAATCGATTGTGCAATTTAAATCTAATTGCCAATGTTGCCGGTCTTATTTGTTACGCTCTGAATGGTCTATACGTTGCATAAGACTATCATATTAATGCCGTGTACAGATAGATAGAAATACTGCAGAGATAGGTATAGTTTTATTCTAAAATATAACTTTTACCTGTTAATGTAGAAGCATAAATTCCTATATTATATACAACTAGCTCGCGATTTCGTCTGCCTGGAATTAAAAAAAATATAAAAACCTAGCCTATGTTACTCACAAATAAATGACCTTTCTAATGGTGAAAGAATTTTTGAAATTGGTCCAGTAGTTCATACTTGAATCGAATACATACAAAAGTCCAAATACAAGTCTTTCCTCTTTATAATATTAGTACCTACAGATAAATATGTAGTCAATACTTTTTACGAAGAAAATATACTCTAATTAAATTCAGACAAACGCTATAGTCTTTTCTTTAATGTATCTTGTTTTCGACGACCTTTGCGTTTTCTGGAATCTTAGATCTACGCAACCATTGAGCTGTGTTTTAGAGTATACACACTTCAATTGATGTTTCCTAGACTCAACGTACGTTGCGTAGTAAATATCTCACGTCCTTGTCGCACCCACGCGCGGTACATTACTCGTCTCAATTTGGCGCCATTTTGCAAAATGGCGACCTCATTTTTATCTTAATTGCGGCAAATCATAAAGACAATTAGCTGAATAGACGACATAATTTTAAATTTCGTTGTCGCTTAACCGTGAAATAGAGCGTTTTCGGCAGATGTGTGTGTTTTACTATGAATTTCTAAGAGCACTCTAATCGTACTTTGGGGTCACAGTTTCATTGTTTGGAACTGACCAGCCGTAGAAACTATGTAGGGGGTCTAAGAAATCGTGTCGCCCAATTTCTTACGTCCCTTTGCTTGTTACGGAACATAATTATACCTTTTACGGGTTCGTCGAACTTTACGATTTGATTTGCGTATGGGAATGTGAGTGGACATCCGCGGGGTTTCTAATATTTTATTTGTACAATTGTTGCATTTGAAATTTTGTCCACCAATTTTGTTATGATCAGATTACAATTTGATAATCCTGTTGACCGTTATTTTAACAACGTTAAAAGTACTACAAAATGTTTCACTATTCCACACGCTTAAAAAAATCTAGTGCGTGTATCCGAACGCGAAATTATTAATTGTTGTATCCGAACAGAAGTGCATGCGTCCCTAATAAATCCGCATTGTGATTCGTAATGCGCGGGCGCAGCAGTGGCTCGTGCCCTTTGTTGGCACCCTCGCATGACACCAACGGTCATATCGATTTTTTAACTGTCATTTCTCCCTCTATCTTTTTTTCCGCCATTGAAATGCAAAGATCACTGTAGCAGAACAATATTGTTCTAAAAGCAATAAATTAAACCTTTATATGGCAATAAAAATATAGGTAATAAAAGAATATAACATTTTTTTTTATAAATTTCTAGTATGTAAATGTTAGCATTGTAGTAAATTCTATACTATCATGAAAATAACAGTAGTATCCACTTTCTCTAGAGTATACTTTAGTACAAAATTATTGGGACAAACGAAATTTGGAGTAAAAATTGGAATATGCGGGTGATAAATACGCTGTCAACGCACGTGTTGTGAATTTTCAAATTTGGAGAGACCGGGGGCCGGTAACGGTCTCCCCTGCATCTGCTGCCCCGCGCTCCGCTCTACAATATTTATAGCTTACCCTACGTTCGTTACCGTGTTGCATTTGCGAGGGATGGTATTGCTACGGTATTATTATTATCAAATTCTAATCTATTATTTATTTGTAACTGCTCTGCTGGATAGCTTGGAAAATACATCAAAATATTTTTTTTCTAGATTTTCTGGTATATCTATAAATAATTCCTTCGTAGAATTAAGTTGTTTATTTGGTTTGTAAAAAGATAAGTGTGCAGTGTGTGTTTAAGTATTTTTTTGACCATACGACGTAGCCAATTCAAAAATATTAAAGAAATTGAGCACACCAGTTAATTTGCAAGTCCGTGTATGTCAAATCTACCTAAAGATTACATCTGGGTCACAGAGTAGTGACACATAAAGTAAATGGGCACAAATTACACGTTGTCCTGCTTCGAGCCTTCCAACACTTGTTAATTGCGGAGTACACTTGCACTTGTTTTGCAATCGGTGACCACCGGTACGGGACTAATGCGTCAAAGTACGTTACAATTCTCACGGAAACCGCCCGCGCTCACGTGTGAATCAACCCTAAGGAAGCGAGTAATGTAAGATATGGTTCAATGCGCCCAACGGCTGCGAACGTTCGCGGATAAAAAGTATGGTTTCACAAGCTTTTCTATACCATTGCTACGAATGACCAGCTTCACCTTCGGTTCCGAGTAAAGCAGTGCACGTCAGCCGCATTTCAACACTTCCTCATACCTATTTGGAGATAATTGCATCCATACAGATTAAGTTGTCAATATTTAACAAACGTATTCTGTGACGATGTTATAACGTAGAAGCTTTTCTAGAACATTCAAATAATAGAGTAAAGTTTTTCAAACAAAAATTGCAATCTTACTGATATTTTAAATGCTGAAGTTTGATGGATATATGGATGGATGTTTGTTAGTTTGTAGCTTAAACGCCTGAAGTTTGGCATAGACATATAGGATAGTCTGGAAGAACACGTAGACTATCATTTTATCTTTAACCCCATTAAGGTCCTTTGTTTTTACATTTTTCCTCCCCTCGTAAGTGCGTAGTTTTTTCCTCGAAATTGCATTTATTCAACTGATAAATCAAGTTCTGTCACGGGCGAAGGATCTCGAAGGTCTATGGGAAAGCCGGGAGACGTAAAGCGTAAAATCTCGAATTCCATTCCCCCTTAAGTTCGAGCGAAAGTGGAATTTTCGACTTTTGCTTTCAATATGGAATCTATGACGATATTGCAAATATAAATACAGCAGTATACAAGAATAATGGATAGAAAAATGTCGGAAAACCTTTATTTTTGTATCACCGTTTTTTTAAAGTATGTATCATCATCATGATCGGCCTTTGCCCACTGCTAGGCATAGGCCTTCCCCAATGCCTTCCACAGAATGCGGTCCTCCGCCTTCCGCATCCAACGACTACCCACCGTGCGCACTAAGTAAAAAAAAAAGTAAAGTAAAGTATGTATGGTTGCGTGTAAATAATAAACATGGTAACAGTAGTTAATAACAATTATATTAAATAACGTTTTGTCAATCTATAATTTACCAGTAACAAGCACAGGCGCCCCAACCTAAATAATTGATATCAATACCTCCCTTGTTAATAGCTTTCCCATGGCTACGAGATAAACACGTGAGACCCGATACAGGATCACTTAGTTACATTTAAACAATGATCCTTTTATTACATAATTGCCCTTCGACTGGTCAACCGTTAAATTACCTCGTTATCTATACACGTA